CAGGGGGACAGCTTGAGGCTCTGTCTCAAAAAAAAAAAAAAAAAAAAAATGCAAGCATGTCCTCTGCCATGATGGCTTTAGGGATAGATATGCCAGCCTAGGCCCAGCTGGCATATTCCAAACTATAAGAAGACTTTTACATGAAGCATACATGATCATCCCAATCTGGGATAAGAGAAATTTATAGAAAAGACTACCCTCAGGACCGGCCCATGGACTGAGCTGCAAAGTTTGAATATAAAAGCCTGTGGGGAACCAGTCATGGGTTATATTTCACACAATGGTGAGGAAAAAGTGCTGCCTTAAGGACAGCTTGGAGAATCACCAAGGGTAAAGTCTATATAGGTGGAGTGAGTCAGGACTGTTTGTTTGCTTTGTTTTGGCAGAGGAAACAGGGGTGTTACTTAGAATCTGGGGCCAAAAGCAATTTCATTAGTTATGGAAATGGGTCCAAGAGTATAGACAGGAAGCAAAAATGCTAGAAACAGTCCTCAATATACATGTATTACAGACACACCGTCCCTTCCTTTTCTAGATTTTGCACAAAATCTCATGAGACTACCCTAGATCCTTATGTTCCAAAGAAAAAAATCTTGGTATATACTATTACATGCATGGAAACAGTTCTTTCTTTCAGTACCTCTCAAGGCTAAGGAATCCCTTAGAAATAATTTAGTGTGGGGTCTTCTAGATTTCCTTTCCATGTCCCAGAGCATGGAGGCTAAATTCACTTCCTAAATAATACCTAGAAATATAACCTAATGCATGAGATTTTCTCTGCTACGGAAAAACCCAAGCGAAGGGAGATCTCTCAGATTTGATGGCGAACAGAAATTATAATAAGAACTCCTGAAACAGAAACAGAACCTCTAAGAGTAAATGCACTGGAGATTAAGCCATCACAAAGTCACCAAAAAGGTAAAATTCCTTCACTGATCACAATAGAATACCCAGAAGCTCTTCCTCCTTAACTAAGTGAATTTCTTTTAGTCTAAAAGCTAGAGAGTAACCCCTCAGAGAGGCTATACTAACAGATTATACCTGACTATCCATATTTAAGGAAAGGTTTTCACATTTCTAAGGAGCAAAGGAGGCAAAGAAAATAAAGATACAAAGCCATGGGACCCTTGACTTGTGTGCTGCTACTGAGCTAACTAAGCCACCTAGTTCTCAACTGAAGGCAGAAAATTCACTGAGTAGGTAGCTGCCAGTGTTGGAAGCAGTCCAGGATGCTGGCACCAATGACAAGATTAAGGTCAGAGGCCTCATGCTAGCCACCACACTTTCTCTATCTTCCCTTGTTCATCCCATATGAATGCTATTTGGAACCAGTCAACTGAGAATGATTCCTCTCCCCAAAGCGAAAATGACTGGAATCCTAGGGTTTGCCTAAAATGTATAGAATACTCACATATAGTTAAACCCACAATAATCAAAGAGAAGTGAAATGGCTATATAGCTTTTAGGGGGCCCATTTCACTTACTACTTGTTGAGTTAAAAACACTCAGCAGTAAAAATATCCAGGCATAATTATAACCCTTATATAAGTAATTTTTTTCTTTTATTGTCACTAACAGAAACAATACAAATACATCTAGGACCAGGCCAACTCTCCAGACAATAACCAGAAAGAAAAATCTCCATTAGACATACTGTGGTCTTAACAGGGAAGTACTTTGTCTAGCCATACTCCCTCAGCATCTTGGGAAGGGGGTGATGTTGAAGATGGTTAGAGCCTAAACTGTGTGAGCTGGAGGCAGAGGGGAATGCTCAGCTCTCCCTGTTTCTCCTTCAAATACTTGGCTGAGAGCTGATGATAGGAAAACCTCCTATGTGGGTGGCCTTGGGATGAATGCCACTGCTTCATGAGTCGTTCTGATTTGTTCACCAGGCACCAAAGAACTGTCAGATAAGTTTCTGGAACTTTGCTCACCGCCATAGGAGGGGTACACATCACACTTAGGGTGAAGTGCATACACAAACCCAGAAATTGCACAGTAACTTAAGTTACTAATTGGCATGTGCACGCATGACTGTCTTTCCAGATGCTCTAAGTGCTGATTCAAAAAGATGACAAGAAAGGGCTTTTGAGTCTCCTACTTGTTTATATCCATCCCCCCACCCCCTCTTCAGTATGCCACTACACTGGAACCAGAATAAGGTGCAACTCATAAGAGAGGAGAGGGTACAGTTAATGTGGTACCCCAGGGCCCCTACCCTGCTAGTGGGGTACTAGCTGTGGCTGGTGCGAGAATGGGGTGCAACTCAAGGAGAGAAGAGGGTGCGATGAACGTGGGACCCCTGTCCCCTGCCCCGCTAATGGATACTAGCTTTGGCTGGTGCGAGAATGGAGTGCTGTCCCCCTCCCGGGTGGTGGCCCGGTCTGGGGGCAGCTAGCGGTGGCAGTTCCCCACGTCGCCGCAACTGCTGCAATGCGCCATTTTCCGTCCCGCAGAGTTGGGCGCTGGGGATGAGAGTTGTCAAGGTGTCCAGCCCCATACAACAGAGTCAACTCACATTTTTTCAGAGGGAGTCGGGTCTCTATCCTCTCCCGAGAATGCGGCGAGACACCCGGCTGGGCGATGCTGCGGTGAAGTAGACGGAACAGCCAAACCCCGCCTCCCGCTGACCAACTGGAGATCTAGCTGCGGTGGCACTCACTGCAGCCACCTAGCTGGCCCCTCGCCTTTATCAGTGCTGGTCACGCCTCCCGATGACGTCACAACCCCGCGACCCAATCCACGCCCAGGACAGCAGCTCAGCGCGGAAGCGAAGCGGTGCGGAGGTTCTAGCCAACTTGGGAAAGGAGCGCTCTGGGACTCACTCACGGACCGAGACGGCTATAGTTTGCTTTCCAGTCTAACTATAGACAGGAAGGGGTGGAAATACGCTCCAGCTCCTCCAAGAGCGCGTCAACAAGTGTGAATTAGGCATTTTTTGTGCCTCCCAACCAATCACTAGGCAGTTTCTGAAATTTGGGCTCGCCCACCTGCCCTAGCCGGGCAGTCCATACAAACTCGCAGGTTCTGCAGACAACCGCGGGCGAGGCCCTGGTTCTAGGCCCGCGGGCCCCGGACCTCTGAGACTCTGGAGTTCCACCGGAGGCGTGGTTCGGCCGTTGGTGCACAGCCCTGGAGCCCAGACCCGGCCAGCACTCCACACCACCTTCCCCGCCTCTGACAGGCAGCCCTGAGGGTGCAGCACCCGCAAGGCAGAGCTGCAGGCTCCGGGTGAGATACCGGGCGCGGGATCCGACCAAAGCAAATAGCAAACCTTCGTTCATCTGTTTGTGTCAGCGTAGCTATCCTAAATTAAACTCCTCCCCCGCCCCCAAACCTGCTCCTTCTATCCCTCCGGGTAGACTACTATATCGACTCACTTGCCCAGAGCAGAAACCTGGAAGCCATCCTAGATTTCCTCCCCTTCATCTTTATCACCAATAATTTAAGTCTATTTTTCTTTCTTTTTTTTTTTT